ATCAGAATCTTATAGAAATCTTATCAGTTTCTTATATAAGATTCTTATACATAAATTACGCATTTCCATCGACTGCCTTATAAGATTCTTGCAGATATTCTGTAAGATTCCTATAGGAATCTTATATAAGATTTGATCTCTAGGGTACGGCGCTGTCTCATTTTTAAGAGAACAGTCCGCTCAAAACATTTCATTTATCTTAAAACGATAAAAGGCATTTAATTATGGATCACTTTTCATGTTTAATATCAACCGAAGGTGTTCATACAAAATATTTAATGAGAAATGCTAGGCGAAGCGTATCGAACAGAAAATATGCAATATATAAAATATGTCTCTAGTTGAGTGATTGCATAAATGATTACTATTACAAAATAATTGCTTTGTATGTATTTATGATGAATGGAGATCTTCGACACGTTTGTTAAGACGACTTAAACAATTACATATGATTGTTTGTTAGCGCAAATAGAATAAAAATTACTCATAGATATTTACAAGAAATATATCGGCGAATGTTAGGTGAGTGATAGTTACTAGGGGTCCACCGTTACCTCGTTATCATTACTGTAACGGTAACGGATTTGCGTTATCGTTACAAGTAAAAGATAATAATTCAAGCGTTGCCGTTACCAGCAACGAGTAACGGATAACGCTTTGACTGTATTTGACTATCAAACACTGATGTGCTTTCTCTGCTGAAATTATAGACTCTATCGCTTATTTTGGCTGATGAAATGTGGCTTCTTCTCTAGCCTGGACTGAGCTGAAGAGTTTAAAAATTTGTGAAAAACCCTTCTATCCCAACAGCGAGCGAACGGGTGATAGAATGCGTTCCAAAAACCTACTGAATGGGCGTTCAACTCGATTTGAAACTAGTGCCGTGGCCAACTGGAACGGGTTAAGGGAGTTCAACCATCCGCTTCACACGACGTATTTTTCAAGGTTTAACTTTTAGCCCTAGCGTAAAGGCAAGCTGGAGCTAGATGACTTGCAGACTGAGCCATCTTTTGCTCATTGATACCGCTATACTCTGACATCGGAACTTCGACCAGCATTACAGGTACATCTTCTACGAAAATGGAGAACAATCTCAAACGAAAGTCCATAGAATTCTGATCAAAATTTCACCTTTTTTGACTATTCACAAGACTTAGAGTAGTGGAAAGAGAAAGAGATGAATACTGAACGTATTTAGAGGTTAGAAGTGTTGCGATGTTGAACTGTTGGCCTGAAACACCTCCAAAAGTTCAATTGGCCTTGTGACTTTCCTTAAGTAGCTAGGTCCTACCGCTCAGGTGTGCCTCTGGATCTTCCTTGCTTCAGTCAGTGTTTTTAACAGAATTTATCCGCTGAGTGTACAAGTATACTCGTACACTCAGAGCGTATACGCTCTGTTTTTTCTCGCAAAGCGGAGACGCTTCAAATCTAACCAGAAAGCATCAATTTAAGCATCACAAATTAGAGGAAAATCAAAACGGAGGTAAATTCAACTGCTCTGCTGTCTTTTGTGTGTTCTAAACAACAGAATCACTCACTAGTTAACAAGTTCTTATTTTCTGTTAAATATAAAAAAGTTGCTTTAGGAAACAAACCGTATATTGTGTACTCTGCTTTTCTGAGAAAAGCGTAACAGGAGAAGCGAAGCATATATACGCTTTGCCATTAGAAACACTGATTGTTAAGTAGCAGTTTTTTCACTTTTACACTTTAAGGATGCCCTTGCATTATTTTGGAGAAGTAGAGTAAGGAGTGGGGTGTCCTTAAAGTGTAAAATAGAGTGGTTACTTTTAATTAAAACAGAAATATTCGACGAACGTAGTATTTTCTTCACCTTGATCTTATTCTTGAACTTTTTCCAAAAGCGTTCTCATCATTGTGTAACTGAGAATGTCAGGAATCGAATGAAATCAAAAATTTTTAGTTTAGCATTCAAAATGAGTGAGTTCTTGCCCATATAATACACTGCACTTCATTTCTGTTCTTATTAAATACCGTATTTATTTAGAACAAAACCACTGAATATATGCTCTTAATTAGAACACGTCTATTCAAATACACGTGTTTTAATAGAAGAATGAAGAAAAAGAGTTTTTTTACTAAAATCTCATTTTTGATGTTAGACAAGTAGAATTTCACTTTTCCGGTCATTTCTGACTTGGTCACATACTGCAGAATAGATTCCTGTTCAAAATTTGCTGAAGGCAAGGATTCTCGAAAATCTCGGTTTCTTGCAATGGATTTACTGAATTTCCAACCTGGGATATCACCTGAGTCCGTATTTGATTCTTCTAAGGTAAGCTAACGATCTTGGTGCCTACCGTCGGGGAAAGAAGTGGCTGGATATGAAAAACCGAGATTTTCGAAAATCCTTGTCTTGAGCAAACTTTGGACAGGAATATATTCTACAGCATGTGACTAAGTCAGAGATGACCGAAAAGAGTGAAATTCTACTTGTCCACCATCAAAAATGAGATTTTTCTCCACAACACCGCTGTCAGAAATCAGCAGAACCCTGTACAAGGCAAAAGTATAGATAAACTTCGTCCCTTTGCAAATAGATTATCATCACTGTATAGCACATACATTTTCGAGTATATTGTGTCATCGAACCATCCATCGATTCCATACTTCGGATAGCAGAAAAAGTTTCTTTCGAAAAAACACCGAAAACGCGCGTGTTTTGCATGGGATTATTCTAAATAAAAGCAGAGACAGGGGAAATATTCTTATTAAATACGGTATTTAATGGGTAGATTCAGATTGTTTCAACTAGCGAAGGCCGCAAGAGCTAGCAAAAAACTGCAGTGGTTCGATTCCGCATTGAATTCTGAATAAGTTTTGTGTTATATACACCCCTAAATTCCAAAGGTCGGGCAGCAAAAAAAGCTTTTTTTCTTCATTCTTCTATTAAAACACGTGTATTTGAATAGACGTGTTCTAATTAAGAGCATATATTCAGTGGTTTTGTTCTAAATAAATACGGTATTTAATAAGAACAGAAATGAAGTGCAGTGTATTATATGGGCAAGAACTCACTCATTTTGAATGCTAAACTAAAAATTTTTGATTTCATTCGATTCCTGACATTCCCAGTTACACAATGGTGAAACCGTTTTTGAAAAAAGCTACGCTTGAATTATTATCCTTTACCTGTAACGATAACGCAAATCCGTTACCGTTCCAGTAACAATGACAGGTAATGATCCACCTCCTTGTAGTTACTAATTATCATGTTGTAGAAAAAAATATAACGACTTATTCAAAAAGGGATAAATCATTCACTAGACGTCTCCATTTAAACTCACTTTGTAGCTTTCTTCAGCGCTTGTTGATGAAATAAGACAGCTGACATATTTTTAAAACTCAACGTTTTAATATCTGTTGCGGATGATTTGTTTATGAAAATCGTAAATTTCTGTTTTTCCTATAGAGTAATTATTCAATGGAAATTTGAGACCCCAAATTCTTTAATTCTGTTTTTTTTTAAATTTGGTCTTACTTTTCTTTATTTTTGTTTACGAAGCACACAAGCGAATGAAGAGGCAATTAATACACGTGAGAGCTGTCCGTGCAATTCCATTGGTACTGTTTCTCTTGATGACAATAATATTAATAGTATTTATACTGAGTCGAGATTTTTCTGAATGTTTGTTACCAGCAATGAAACCTGAAGACATGGAGTTCAATGCGAGTACTGTCGATCAAAATCCAAAAGAAGCATTTATTGTTTTTATAGATTGTAAACGACCTTACTTGGAATTACTCGACGTACTTTTCGATTCTATCCATCTATTTTCTACTCGACCAATTATAGCATGGAGTTTAGATTTCGAATTGAAAGTAAATCGGAAGAAGCACCCTCGGGTTATTGTAAAAAGCACAGTGCGTAAAATATGCGGTCCTTATTCAATCTATTCATGTAAGTTATTTGCAATGGTGCATAGCGGCGTTCATTATGGTGTGCAACTTGAAGCAGACTCGGTGGTTAACTATAATATTGATGTATTATTCGATGTTCTACATAAATGGCCGTATGATCTTCCACTTGCTCCAAGACATCCTAGTGATGCAAATAACTATTGGCATTTTATGAAACAATTTGGTGTTACTAAACGTACGACACCATACATACACGGACTCTTTATATTTACGTATAGAGCGCATCCCTTTCTTCAAAATGTTCTGAAATTGATGCTCAGTGGTCATTTTAATGGTGCAAACTACGATGAAACAGCTATGAATGTAATGCTTTGGAAAGCAACGTCAAATCATACCATGTGTAGATATGACACATATGGACCTAGTGCGATATCTGACTATGAACATTCAGATAGAAATTGTACGACTTACTGTGATGCTGCTTATATAACGTTCCACGGTCAAAAAAATGCTCGAATATCTAATGATATTTTCAAACGTCTTCAAGCAAAAGTTGGTAGTCCAGTTATACAAACACGTTCTACAATTAAACATATGCAGGAGAAAGGAGTGACATGTTGTCATGAAGATGGACTTCCATCATCAATTCATCCTTTAATTTGCACATATGAACATTATAGATCGCCTGCGCGATCCAGCATAGTCATATTAAAAAAGAAAAATACATTACGAATCCATTGGCCAAAGTCAGGTATAGATTAAAGTAACGGTGCAAAGAAAAACAGTTTTAAGCCGCTGCAAATAATGATATGGAAGTATAAAAATGAACCATTATTACCGTTTGACCAAGGTTTTAGTGATAGTAATTAACAGTAATCCCATTACAAAACAAGGCGTATTAGTGCTGGCATAGCGGATGTGAATAAATTGCCCATCATCAACAGGTTCACAAAAATGTCTCGCAAAAGACGAAAAAGATGTTGAACCCATCATTCAAAAAACTCTTAATTCGATTTTAGTTCTATCGTGATTTAGAGAAGCTCCGGCTTAAATGTGTCACACTTTCTTCTTAAAAAATCCACTAATTTACTGAATATACGTCGATGTCATATAAATCCGTAGTCTTTTAACGCTTTCGAAAAATGAAAGTTGAAAATACAATTCGAATCTTTCGGATTTCTTATAATTTGGATATTTTTTGTCTACACCATATATTCTTAACTCGCCCTGAACAAATGTTAGTAACAAACACATAACTTATACAATATATATATAAGTTTATGTAAAATAAATAAATCCACAGTTTTCAGAATTGGCTGAACCGTTTGTTTTACGGACTCTTTGTCCCATGAGATTAGGTCATGGGCCCTCCCCCCAATATACAAGAAGTAAAAAAAATTGCATTTAAATATCTTCATTTTCGAAAAAAGACTTTTTTTTTGATCGAAGAAAAACTATTCCAAACCGCATTCGCAGGTGCATAAATACACTCTAGTAAGGCCTACATTTTGATATAAAGCTTGAGCCGTAAACATGTTAACACATTGAGAAAAACAATTAGTAAGATTTTGCGCTTAAGCCAAGAATTATATCCTAATGAAGCAGTTTTGAGCTCTGTGATAAAGTGGAATAGATAACCCGGATTCTAAAGTATAAATTAACATCAAAAGATAGTTGTTAAAGTTCGCTAAAATAGATGAAAAAATTTTGATTACTAAACTTGATGAGATACACCAATTTGTAGCGCCATCTATTGTTCTCTCTATAATTCGAGAACGGATGAGTTTTAAATGATGTTATTTATATCATTATCTAGTTACATATAGGCGTACAACTAGTAAAAATACCATGTAAATCTGTGGCATCAACAGTCGCTGTCTATGGGTGACTGTCTGATTTTCTCAGATAATGGGTCTTAATGTAATCAATAACTTTTCTTTGTTCTCTGTTATCCTGACTGATTCCAACATCTCTGCTGAAATAAATAATGTATCTATGTTTTGAGTAAATAAAATACTGGATAGTACAAAATACTTATCAGAGTCTAATAAGAATCCTATAAGCTTTCTGCAACAAATTCGTATAAAACAGATAAGAATTACATAAGAGTTTTATCACTTTCTTGTGAAAATCTTATCTGGTTGTTGGTTGTGTGATTCTTGTTGTAGTTGGTACAAGTATACAGCAGGGAGTTTTGGCTTTTAGAACGAAAAGTTGATTTTTCACCTTGTTTCATAGATCAATATAATCTTCCAGTCATCATTATAAATCTCATAAACGGAATATTCTAAATATGATCTAAACCATCTGTAATTATTCTCACGACTTGTAAAACAAAACTACTACTTTTTTTCTACGGCAATTTACATTCATATACTGTAGAGCTATACTTTTACAGTTTATAATAATAATTATAAACTTTTGGATGCTGTTCGTTCAATATTCCTGAACAACATTAATTATTATCTCATGAGTGCTAAAATCCTAATTTTGTTTCAATAATCTGTTCTGTTCTATTCTTATCTTGTGAGTATAAATCTGATGAAACCTTTTATGGATCGTAAAATTTGACACTTGGAGCATATCCGGCTGGGGATTAGAGCCCATCGGGTCCGGGTCTGAAAATTCTGAATTCATCGGGTTCGGGTCCAAAGATTTTGAATTCAACGGGTCCGGATCTATAAATTTTTATTAGCCAGAAAAAAATCCACTATAAAAAATAATTCCATTATTTTTATTTTCGTTTATTTCTGTTCTTTTTATTCAAAAAATGTTTAGCAATAAACTCATGATCTTTTTTTAGA